CTGGAGCCACCCAGAGTCTGTCCCTCCCTTTGGACAGGAAAACAGATGCAGCGCTCCCACCCCAATTAGACCCTCTTTTGCTTCTTCTTTCTCCCTGGGCTTGACCACAAAGCTCCTCCCCACCCCCCAACTCCGGGAGGCCTGCCCATGCTTACAGGAGAACAGGGAAGGGGCTCTTGCTGCCACTCCCTGCCTAACTGTGTTGCTGTTTACTGGGTGTGGAAACCCACTCTCCCATCTCCTCTCCCAGGCCAGAGAAAGCCCACTCCAGCCGGCCTCCACAGGGACTGGTTCTGGAAAGCAGCTGGGTTTTAGTGGCAAGAGTCACAAAGATCTGAGCGTAAATCTGAGCCTTCCCAGCTGGGTGGAGTTACTCAGTTGGAGTTACTGGGTTACTGGAGTACTGGAGTTACTGGAGTTACTCAGTTACTCTGGAGTTTCTGGGTGGAGCCATGGGCGAGTTACTCAGCCTCTCTGAGCCCCAGCTTTATCACCTGTGAAAAGGGAACAATTCCTCTCTCCATGAGGTTGGTATGAGGTTGTATGCAAGCCCTCAGCATGGCTCCTGACACATAGTAGGTGTTCAATGAACAGCAGCTCTTCCTGTAAGCCTGGTGGTTTCTGGCTTCTGCTGTGTTATCGCATAGCTTCTCCCTTCTTCTCTTTTGTCTCCCCTTGGCCACAGAGAGTCCTGACCTTTGCCTGTTTTTCTAATATATACCCAGGCGCTGTCCTAAGCCAATACATGAAGTGGAACCCTAACCGGGGGGTCTTGGCACGTTGAACTTGGCTGAGGTGGGGAAGCAAGGAGATCAGACACAGGGTTCTTTTCTGCCCTGTGGGTGTGTCTGGCTGCTGTCGCATGGGGGCCCACCACCAGGGGAAGCGGTTCCTGGTCTCTCCGGAGCTGGCACGCTGGCCTGACTGCTGCCATTTGGGAGGCAGCCGTCCATGGAGGGCAGAGGCTGACAGAGCCAGTTCTTGATCGCCCAGCCGGACCAGAGCCTGTCAGGGAGCTGCCTGTGGGTGTGAGCCAGCGGTCCTGGGCCTCTCAGGTAGCTGTGCCTCTCCTGGCTGTGGTCCCAGCATCCACTGGCTCACGGCTGTGGCTGGGACCCTCGCGCCAGGCGGCTTCTGTGGTTCTGGGTGGACATGGCAGCTCCGTCCGGCCGCCTCCTCGGCCTGTGCAAGCGGTCAGGACAGCTTCAGCTGACTCCAAGCCCTAAGGTCCTGCTCAAGGGCTGGGGCTGATCAGGGTGTGTGCAAATGAGCGTGCCGGGCCCCAGAGACGGACCAGACCAGGGGATGTGGAATGGCAGGGCTAACCCCACCTTTTTTTTTTTTTTTTTTTTAAATAGAATGACTTTATTTTCAGCACCCTTATGTAGTGTGAGGAAAGACTAGACTATCGTTCATGGCTGAATCGTGCTTCTTTACCCCCTTCAGAGCTATTTGTCCATTCTTGTGCCTCAGGCCACCTTTTGGAGATCGCTTTCCATCTTCCTTTGCTGCAGACCCCTCAATGGGGTCTGTGTAACTGTCTCAGCTTCTGTTTCCTTGATAATGTCTTCTTTCATCATGGTTCTTAAAAGCTGGTTTCCGGCTCCCAGGACCATGGGCGGGCGGGTTCTTTTATTTTGGTGCTTTGACGGTATTACTTCAGCGTCTCCCCTTGTCGTTGTTGAAAACCTACTCCTAACCAGATGGCCCTTCCTTGGCAAGTGGCCCGTCCTCTCTCTTCTTGGCTCCCGGAAGGTTTTGTCTGTGACTGACATGAGCACGGGGGGTTGGCCCCCAGAGACCATGGCCACCGTCTCGCCCCAGGAAGAGAGCGGGTATGGTCAGTGGGACTTCCAGAGAGAGACTTGAGGCCAGTGGGGGAGGCTGAATGGGGCCCATGGCACCCAGAATTTTCCAAAGGGCTAGCACATGCATTGCCGAAAGTGTGCCAGCATGAGCTGGGAAGAAATTCTCCATCCCGGCTGGGGCTGGCCTCAGCTTTCTCGATCACCACTGGCCTCAGGGCTCTCTTGCTGGCTCCATAGGATTCCTGCTTTTCTCTCTCCTGCACCAAACCTTGGCCCATCTTCTCCAAAGGGCCACAGCCTTCTTGGGTGAGGCTCTTTCTGGGTTCTCCAGCAAGCCCTCCCCGCCCCCTCCAGCCCATGTATACCCCATCTCCTTTTCTCCCAACTCCCGGGATCTGGGTCGACCCGTCACCTGAAACATTTGGTCGCTAGATTATTTCAGAGCGCTGTGCTGTGCCGAGCAAGGTCTTTCTGGATGGAGAGACCTTGTCTCTGTCTCTTTCTGCTCGCTCAAGTATTGCATTTAGGCCAGTTACCCCTGAGTGGGAGGTGGCATCACGAGGCCCCACTCAGTCTCCGCCAGTGTTGGACACTCGGGCTCTGATTCTACCTCCCTTTCAGAGAGGTGGCAGCCTCCTCCCCCTTTGCACGTGAGGACCTCACAGTGTCCTGGGCTGGAGATGCCAGTCACAGGAGCAGAAGTCACTGGAGGCTTTGATGGGTGGGTTTTATCCTGCCAAGTGTGGGGACAGCCGTGAAGGATATGGCCAGATCCTGGCAGGGATCTGCCTGGCCCGCTTTGGAGCGAGACGGAGCAGGAAGACAATGGCCCTGAGAATTTCCAAATGCCCAGAGGCCTTACAGATGCCTCCACCCAAGCATTCCAGGGACTGCTCTCTTTTCCGGCCCCGGGTCAACCGTGGGTTTACACGTGTCCAAGTGGGGCGCAGATGCGTCTTTGGTGTGCGTGCTTACAGGGCATGTCAGGGGGTCTGAGACGCTGACTGCACCCCATGTAGGAGAAAAGCCACGTTCCGAGTTGGAGGGGCTGAGATGTGAAGGTTTGGGTAAGAGTTATCCTGTGGCAGGTTGAGGATGATTTCAGCAGAAGAGCAAAGAATTCTTAGGTTGGAATTCTGTTAGGGAGAAAATGTACGTGTGGCCGATGGCCCCTCCCCCCATGGAACCCCCCTCCACCACACAGTTCTCCTAGGATAAGTCAGGGGCACATGGTTGAGAAGGACGTTGTCTCTGCATTTGGACACTCTGCCCCTGAGATGTGTGCTGGGGAGCGGAGGAGGGTGGAAGGGAACGCCGCTGCCCAGTGGATTTTCCGGCATTCCCTATGCTGGGGTGTCGGGGTGGGTGGGGGCTGTGTTCCACGGCAGGCACTGGTGTTTGTTCTCAGTTGGGTCCAGACATGGGTGCCAGCTAGGCCCAGTGGAAGGAAGCCGGACACAGCCTGCTCTGAAGTCCCCATGCTCCCGAGTTGGGGCAGCTTCCCGTTCTGGGGGAGCAGTGTGTGGCACACCCGGCTTCGGCTGCCAGAGACCTGCTCTGTCTTTGGCTGACCCTGGAACAGGCCTCCCATTGCCTCCTGGCTTTCCCCTCCCTGCGGGACTCTCACATACAGTTTGGCAGCGCTGTTCCTCTCCATTGGGCAGACTGTAGTCCCTTTGTGGGTTGTAGGCTGGTTCCCTTGCTCATGGACGGAAGTGGGGAGAACAGGGCCACGTACGAAACGTCCTCCAGCTCCTGGGAAGACGTCCTGGCAGGAGTCGAAGGCTGGGACCCACTTCTGCCTCTCTCTGTGTGTGGCCCACTCATTGTTACCAGATGTGTTGTTGGCATGAGAGGTTCATGTGCCAGCCCTAGGACGGCCATTAGGATCCCCACTCTACAGAAACAGAAACAAGTCCTAAGAAGTTGCCTGATATGCCCTGAGCCTCCCAGCGTCCAGGGCAGAGGTAGGATTTGAACCCAGGACTCTGGCCCCAGTAGTGGCATTGCTTTACCAGTGCTGTGTGCCAACACTGACTTTGTGAGCAAGTCACTCCTCCCCCTGGGGTTGTGTCTAACGAGGCGATCAGTTCCGTAAGTCGTGTCCCATCACACACAGACATCGGGGATGATGCTTTTAGATATGTGGAATAATGTTTCATGAAAGAAGCGACATATAAGCAGTATATTCAGGATGATTACGATTTTGTAAAATGAGCCCACGCGTGCGCAGGTACACACGTGCACACATACACACACACACACGTGTGCACATGGCGAGAAGCGCGATAACTGTGGTTATCCTCAATCTATCTGGCCGATGGTTGATTTTCTTTCACCATTTTTGTACTTTTCAAAGTTCATAGGGCAAAGTGTCTTCAGAAAAAAAAGTTAAAACAAAACAGCTGGAATTGTTCAAGGGGCATCCTCAGGAGATGGACCTTCAGGAGAGAGGGGGCTTCCTGTCCTTGGGGGTGGACAGGCTGAGGCTTGTCCATCTGTCGTGGACACTGTACTGGGGGTGTCCTGGTTAGGGGAGTGGGAGGGATGGCACTCTGGTGGACGGTGCCTGGCACAGCCCCATGGCTCCTTGGGGCTGTGGGAGAAGGGAGTTTCCGGATGCCGTGCTCCTCGACTTGAACGTGGCAGAGAATCCCTGGGGATTGTGGTTGTATCGCAGGCTCTGACTTGGGAGGCAGGCTTGAGACTCTGCATTTCCAAGAGTTTCCCTTGGATCTGCTCTGGAAAAGTTCCCCGGGCCCTGCAGAACAGACGATTCCAGTGGCGACTAGAGGGGTACACGGCCTGTGAGGATGAGCATCCTGGCCCAGGTGACATTTGTGGAAGGATCCTTCCCAGCCGTGGAAAGATGAGTGTTTTTCAGAGGGCTGAGTGAGACCGGGGGCCCCCTCGCACTTGGCTTCACGGAGAGAGTGCTCAGGTGGAACCAGGAGGGCCGGGATCTGAATCCCAGCTGCTGTTCCTTAGCTGTGTGTCCTGGGGAAGGCCGTTTTGCCTCTCTCGGCCTCAGTTTCTCCATCGGTACAGTAGGGCTAAGAATGCTGCCTCGAAGGCCGTGGTAAGGATGGGTTGGGATGGCGTGGGTCAGGTACCCGGCTCAGGACCCGCTCTGTGGTCGGCTCTTAACCCACGCTTGATCCCCTCAGATTACCCGCTCGCTTCTCCTGGCAGGTGGATGAGATTTACCACGACGAGTCCCTGGGAGCCCACATAAACATTGCGCTGGTCCGCTTGATCATGGTTGGCTACCGACAGGTAAGCCCCCCCCACCAACAGTCAGGGTCTTGGGGGAGAAGGGGTGTGGGGTCGGTGCATCGGCCTGGTGGCTCTGGGGTGGGGCAGCGTTGGTCAGCGTCTAGGAAGCATTTTGTTTCCAGAATCAGAACCCTGAGACCATTAGAACTGAGGCTTCGGAAGCAGGGGCATTTGGGGGTGTTACACAGGGATTGAGGGATTCCCTCCAAACTCCTAAATGGACAGTCCTACAGCCTCACAGCTGGAGAGCCCGCTCCCCAAGGAATCGATGTGGAGATGGGCTCAGAGCGGGGCAGTGACCGAGACAGGGCCTGCTCTGGTTGATCACTGGGGCCCTGGGCTCTGCAGTCTTAGACTCTCTCATTCTCCCCCAAACAGGGGGTAGCAACAGAACTTTCCTCCAGGGGCTGTGGTCAGGATAAAATGAGACCGTGAACGTAAAGTCTGGAAGAAGTGCTCAGCCCAGCACCTGCCTTGCGAGCCGGTTGAGGGATGAGAGAGCATGTGTGTTGAGTTCTTGGCGGACAGGTGGCCCAGCACAGGGCCTGAAGTGGGAGGGCTATGCGCCAGCGGCTGGAGTTGGGGCTCCTGGTGACCCGGAACCCGCTCTGCGGTCCTATGGGCCTCAGTGTCCTCTACTGGTGGGAGGGGAGCGACGGGTGCTCCCTGCGTTCTGGGGGCTATGGCGATCGCCCCTCTGCTGACGCTCTTGGCCCCTGCAGTCTCTGAGCCTGATTGAGCGTGGGAACCCGTCTCGCAGCCTGGAGCAGGTGTGTCGCTGGGCGCACTCTCAGCAGCGCCAGGACCCCAGCCACTCGGAGCACCATGACCATGTGGTCTTCCTCACCCGGCAGGACTTCGGGCCCTCAGGTACGTAGGTGCGGTATTAGCTGCGGCCGGGTGTGCGCAGCCGTAGGGCCGAGGCCTGGGGCCAGGCGCTCTGGAGCCACTCCAAGGTGGTTCGAGGGGCCAGGCTCCCTGTCGACAGAGAGAGTCCTGGGACTCTGGAGATAGGACCTGACCGGACAGGTGGGTAAGCTTGAAGGGGTTTCCTGGAGATCAGGGAAGTGAATGGGTCCCCATTCTGGTCCCTGCGGTCTTGGCTGAGCCTGCTGGTGGCTCAGCCGCATGTGTTTGTTGACTGACCAACTGACTGGCTCACGTGGAAGTCGGGTGTGTGCAGGCTTGGGGCATCTGGAAATCTCATTGCCTCGATCAGAGGAGGGGATGACAGAGGCCTGGAAGCTGCAGGGGGGCTGTAGAGCTTCATGATGTGGGAGCATTATGATGTTGAGGGGGAGGGGATGGACTTTGCAAAGATCTTTCGTCCTCTAGGCACTCTTTGGCAGCGACCACGTCACATGTCCCTATAGTGGCTGGCTGGGCCCAGACCTCGCTGAGTCCTGCCTCGCTTTCCTGTGACTTCCCTCTGCCCCCTCTCCCTCTCCCCGGCAGGGTATGCGCCTGTCACCGGCATGTGCCACCCCCTGAGAAGCTGTACCCTCAACCACGAGGACGGCTTCTCCTCAGCCTTCGTGGTGGCCCATGAGACAGGCCACGTGTAAGTGTGCGTAAGCGGCACTGGGAAGGCGGGCTGCGCCGTGAGCACCGAGGAGTTCTGTGGGGGTGGGTGGCTTGATCTCAGATGGGGCTCCCATCCCAGGGTCCTGGGAGAGGCCAGGGAAGATGCCCATGTGTTGAGGCCCAGCCGTGATGGCCGGGGACCTGGGGGCCCCGATGGCGATTCTGGGCCTGCCTTGGGACTGGCCCTCAAATCCCAGGGCCATGGAAAACCAGATGTGGCCCCCGCCTTTGGGCAGGTCAACGCCGTGTCCCATCCTAGGCAATGGTCTGTTCTCTAGATGGTCTCTATCACTCATCCCATCCATAACTTGAGGCCCTTCTGACGGCTGTCCCGGCCCACACTGCTGCTCAGCGAACACTGCAGGGCTCGCCTGAGCCCATCATAAACAGGCACTCAGAGCCTCAGGCCCCGGGCCAGGCTGGCAGCCGGCTCTCTTGGTCTCTGGACCTGGCTTTTGTTTAGAGCATAGCCATTCATGCCTTCGACCAGTATTTCTCGAGCACGCTCTGTGTGCCAAGCCCTGTGATAGGACTGGATTGCCGCGGAGAATAGGATGGAGAAGCTCCATTCTGGGAGAAAGCAAATCCGCCACCGTCATCCAGGTTTTCCTGTGGTAACTTGCACCTGCGTAGTCATGCCTTCTGGCCTTGTCTGCCTGCTGGGCAGAACTGAGGGACGCACCCCCGGCCCTTCTGTAGCGCACGCGTGTGGAGTGAGGGCTCCTTCCTGCCGGGGGAAGGACCTGGGCAGGAGTGGGGTGCTGGGCCATCCCGGAGAGGGTCTGCCCCTGCTGTCTCCCACACCCCTCTCCATGCCAACCCTGTCAGCCCGGGAGGCCCGTGGGGACTCCATGCCAGCTCCGCCCCTCACTGAGGCCCCAGCTTCCTCCTCTCCCGTGTGGAGGCTGACACACAGGAATCCTCAGGGTCCCCTTGTGCCCTGGAAGCCCATGGGTCCACATATTTTAGAGCTGGGAGTTTGTCCTCCTGTGCGTGGGAGGTGTGGGGGGTGGTCCACTCTTTGTGGAGCAGAGCCTCTCCCTGTGGAGAGATGAGGACAGCCTTAGTAGTCCACGTGTCTGTCTGGTGGTCAAGGCCAGACGTCGCCACCTGGGAGTATTTGAGAATTTAGAGCCTCTGGGCTTTGGCATCCATTAGTAATGATAAAAAGCCAGACTTTACAATTTAAACTATCACTATGGTAGGTGCGTACCATGTATAAAGCTCTGTGCTCTGTACTCTGGGGTCTTGGAGAAGCTTAAGAGATGGTGTGGAGACACTCAGGAAATGAAGTTGAACTGAACCAAATGCTTGAGACCTGGTCTTTGCACCTTGCAGGTCTTGGGTCGGGTGGGGAGACGTGGAGGGCATGCAGGTTGCTAGTGGCAGGACAGCTGGCTTCTGCTGTGGGAGGTCGACCCTCGGGCAGGGTGGCCAGGGAGCGCGTCCCCAGTAGGAGTGGGGCTTGAGCTGACCTCGGAACCCATGAGGATGTGGCTGGAGTCTGAGGAGAATGCAGGAGGGCAGAATGAGCCCAGCCCCATTGGGGAGCAGGCTGGGGCTTCAACTTCCATCCAGAGGGGTGGTCCTCGCCCCTGCACGGTGGGGAAACTGAGGCCAGGAGGAACAGTCTGAAGCCTGGCCAGGGGGTGCTGTCCTATTGCTGGCCCGCCTGCCTGTCTTCACAGGTGTGAAGTGCCCTGGTGTGTGACTCGGGGCTCCTTTCTGTACCCCACCCCCGCCCTCCAGGCTCGGCATGGAGCATGACGGTCAGGGGAACGGCTGCGCCGACGAGACCAGCCTGGGCAGCGTCATGGCACCCCTGGTGCAGGCTGCCTTCCACCGCTTCCACTGGTCCCGCTGCAGCAAAGTGGAACTCAGCCGCTACCTCCCGTAGGTCGCCGCCACCTCCCGGCTGGGGACAGGGGAGCTTGCAGCCTGCCGCCTCACCTCCCCCTGCCCCCAGCATCTGTCTCCTTACCACCCTGACCCTGACACGTGTGCTGGATTCCCAGCCTTGCTGCTCAGCTCCTGGGCCTCCAGGGACGTTGAGGCCAAGGCCAAGCTTTAGATACAGGAGCTCCAGGCCGGGCGGGGCAGGTGTGGGTCGAGCTGCTGTCTCTAACCTCATGCGGCAGCTGGCCAGGGTCCTGAGTAATGTGGGGCGGGCTGCCTTTCCTTCCCTTTCCTTCCCTCCATGCAGTGAGCCCTCTGATTGCCCAGGAACCGGCCCTTCCTCCCAGGAAGACACAGCATCTAGCACAGGGCAGCCGGGGCCGGTTCCTGCAGGCCGTGTTTGCTCCTTAAAGCCTTCACCTCCTTGTCTCCACTGGCAGCTCCTACGACTGCCTCCTCGATGACCCGTTTGTGCCCACCTGGCCCCGGCCCCAGGAGCTGCCAGGTGTCGACTACTCAATGGACGAGCAATGCCGCTTTGACTTTGGCTCTGGATACCACACCTGCTCTGCGGTGAGTTCCTGCCGGCCTCTGCCTGCTGGAGGGCCCAGGCCATGTCCTCCAGTGACCCTGACTGGGCCTCCACAGGGCACCTTCCTTCCAGCTGGCCGGGTGGCCTAGTGATGGGCCCGCAGGCTTGGTGCTACCTGCCACAGTGGGGGGGGGGTGCAGGGGGATCAGGGCCCGGCCCTGCCTCCTTCTGCCACGTACCTGCCCCACCCAGTCCTACCTTTGGAGGCGGGTGTGTGCTGTGGCTAGAGGATGCTTTAGTCCTGGGAAAGATGGAACAGAGTAGAACAGAGAGAGCAGGTGGCTGATGGGGTCCTGGCTGTGCGGGTTCCAGGGGAGCACATCTGTAGGACAGTCCCTCTGTCAGATCAGGCGCTGGGCTCTGGCCTGCTGGAGGACTAGCTGCCTCCGTCTTACCTTCTAGGGATTTGATAGGATGTTTTGGGCCAGTTTGTCACCCTAGTGCAAATCTCCTGTGTCCCCACATAATCTCTCTCCAGGGGGTCAGTTGCATGTTCCCCCTCCCCACCTCATGTTTAGGAGATTGAAACAAGGGAGCATAGCCTTTCCTTAACCTGCAGGACAGGGCAGGGGGAGCCTGTCCCTGGGGAGCCCCCTGGGGAGAATCGAACAGCCACTGGCCAGAGCCCGGGCAGAGGCTCACATCCTGCAGGACCAGGAGTCATGGAGTATGGTCACCTTCCTATTGCTCAGGCCACATGGGGACACAGGGTCTCTGAGCTGGGTGGGGAGAAAGCCTGGGATGTGAGATTTCAGGGCTTGGAAGGGCTGTATCTGTAGGACACTGCTCTGGCTGGCCAGAGACCCAGGGGGTCTCCTGGACAGCATGAAACAGGAGATCACCAACATCTGGCACAGCCTGGTGAGACCAGACCGGGGTGGGTGGGAGTCATGACCATGCCTGGGTGCCTAGGGCTCTGGGCTAGACCGGAAGCCCCTTGAAACCCCGATGTGCACTGGGTTCACGGGGCTCGGCAGGCCCAAGCGTTCCAGAGCCTCAAACCCTGGTCCCTGCCCAGTGGCATGGCGGCTTCTGCAAAGGCAGGGAGGGAGGCCTGGGGAGGCAACAAGGGAATTATGGGCTGTGGCCTGCCCCATTTCAGCACCCCGGCGGAGAGAGGAGGGGTCTCTGGAGGCCATGGGAGTGGGGTCCAGTTCGGGGACGTGGACCCTCCTGCCTCCCTGACCATATTTTGGCCCCAGCGTCCACCACAGCCCTCCCCTCTCTCTGTTACTCCCCTTGGCCGCCTGCCGGACAGCTTGGAGCCTAAGTGCCGGTGTGGCGGGTGGCCGCTCTCCCCTTCCACGCAGTTCCAGACCTTCGAGCCCTGTAAGCAGCTATGGTGCAGCCGCCCCAACAACCCATACTTCTGCAAGACAAAGAAAGGGCCCCCCCTGGACGGGACCGAGTGTGCGCCTGGCCAGGTACGTGGGGCCCGGGGCTGTGGCAGGACTGTTCGGGTCCCTGGGAGCCCCTACCCACCCCAGCATGTGTGCTCAGGAGGTATGCATGAAGCCCCCCTCCCCTGGCCTGTAAACTCCTATGTTCACACTCTCCCTCCCATACCAGTCGCCTGCTTCCTCTGTGTGCAGAGCTTGGCATTCTCTTCCTGCTCTTCCGGCAGGAAGGCTTACTCCCATTTTACGGTTGAGAAGAATGAGGAACGGGCGGGCAGGCAAAGGAACTTGGGAAGTCAAAGTTGAGTGATTGAGTGAGGGAAGATTCCAGGTGTCCTGCCTGCCCTCCCCAGCCCCCCACACTGTTTCTCCCACACACGTTTTGCCTCCCCTGCCCCAGAACCCCCCCTTTCACATACATGTTAGTGTGTGTTTCCCCCCCTTGAGCATGTGTGCATGTCAAGGCTTCATTTGTCCCGGAGGGCCTTGTGGCCGGGTCTGAGGGCCTTGACCTGGGGTTTGAAACCCACCTCAGCTCTCTCGCTGGCTCTGAGCCAGATCTCTGTGCTGCCCGTGGGCCATTTGTGGCACTTCTCTGGGTCCTGCTGACCCCAATCAAGTGGCCTTCCCATGCCTCAGGTAGTTCTGAGGTCAGCATGAGAGCCAAGGGCAAAAGCAGGGCGCTGAGAGAGGCTCCAGGCTTATTCAGCATCAGCTGGGAGCCGAGCCACAGACCTGCCCCCTAGCCAGCCCTCTGCCCTCTGCCCTGTGCCCTCGCCAGGCTCTACCCACCCAGCACAGGTCGTGGTTGGGGTCTGCCCTTCACAGATGGATGGGGCTTCCTATGGCCTTGCACGGGCCCAGCAGGCTCCATGTCTTTGGGCTTTTATCTTGGAAACTTGGTGGACCTGCTCCAGGGGTTTCCAGAGTTCCAAGTCTTTCTGTCACCATTTCACATGACGGTTAATCCATGGCTCTCAGTTCGTGCTGCATATTGGAACCATCTAGGGAGCTTTCCAAGTCCCCATCCCCCAGGATAGGTAGAGACTGCAGATGGGCACGAGAGAGCTCTCTGGGTGATGGAAATGTTCTAGAATTGGATGTGGTGACAGTTGTACAAGGCTGTAAGTTATGAAAACTTACTGACTTGTATGTACCCTTGACCTGAGCGATTTTTATGACACATGAGATATCTGCTGCGTCTTTTAAAAAATCCCGACCCCTTGGAGCGCCTGGTGGTTCAGTCGTTAAGTGTCTGCCTTCAGCTCAGGTCGTGATCTCAGGGTCCTGGGATCGAGCCCTGCATCGGGCCCACTGCTCAGTGGGGAGCCTTCTTCTCCCCTCTCCCACTCCCCCTGCTTGTGTTCCCTCTCTTGCTGTGTCTCTCTCTGTCCAATAAATAAATAAAATCTTTAAAAAAATCCCTACCCCTAGAGATCCTTATCAGTTGGTCTGGGATGGAGTTTTAGAAGTTGCCCAGGTAACTCTGAGGCTGAGAACCACTCTGTTATCTCTTGAAAAAGATCCAGGGAGATTTGCTGTTTTCTCACATGTCCTGTGGGAGAAGGGAAGGGAGTCACTTCGGTTGAGTACACCTTCGTGCCTGGCCCTGAGCTAGGGCCTTTGTAGGTGTTCTTGCTTTCAGTGGTTAGAACAGTCCCATTTAGCAGGTGAGCACACTGAGGCTCAGCAAGGGGGAAGTTATGCCAAAGCCCCACACAGCTAGTAATGGCTGAGCTGGGATTCAAACCTAGGCCCCTTGGACTCGATTCATATACTCCCTCCATTTGTGCATTTGTAGACCTCCCCCGTGGGGCTGGCTTGCCTCCCACAAGCACACCTGCCTGCAGTCCTTGCAAGGGGATTTCAAGATACAGAGTCAAGATCAACTCTAGATGGCATGGAAAGATTGTGTCTTCTATCCCTGATGAGCTCTTTTTTTCCTCCAGGAGTGGTTATCTTCCTTGAGAATACTGCTTGCCATTTTTGGAGGGCCGTGTGTGCCAGGCATGGTCTCCTTGAAGGCTCCCCGCAGCCCTGTGGGTGGGCGCTGTTACCCACGCTGTACAGTGGAGGGATAGGCTCAGAAAGGGGAGCCCTTTGCTGAAGGTCACTCGCCTGATGGTAGAGGTGGGATTCTGTGCAGTCCTGAGGCTCGTGCTCTCAATGTCCCTTTCTCTGGTCTCACCTGGGTGCCTCCCAGCTGTGCCACGTGCGCCGTCGGGCACTCTCCGTCATGGGCTGGGCAGCTGTGGCCCCAGGGTAACCTCATTCCTTCTGTTCCCTCCCAGTGGTGCTTTAAAGGTCACTGCATCTGGAAGTCGCTGGAGCAGACTTACGGCCAGGATGGAGGCTGGAGCTCCTGGACCAAGTTCGGGTCATGTTCGAGGTCATGTGGGGGCGGGGTTCGATCCCGCAGCCGGAGCTGTAACAATCCCCCGTGAGTGCTCTTGGCTGAGGTGGGCAGGGCAGGGGACACCCTCTCCCCCCAGGGCTGAGGGGCTGGGAGAAGAAGGCACACGGGGAGGGATGGGGGCAGGACACTAGAGAGAAGGACCCCTGCAGGTGGTTTGTATTCTGTTGGTGGGAACCCAAAAATGTTGGTGGGGGTGGGGCTGGATCTCTTCCACCCGGGCCTGGCATCTCCCATCAGGTGTGGCGTCTGAGAATTGATCCGAACCAGTGATTCTCAAACTCCGGTGTGCGGAAGATTCTGAGTCGGGTCAGGACTCTTGATCCTCTGGCTAAGCTTTGAGAAGACACTGATCTAAATGCTCAGGAGCCTTGTTTGCTTTCTTGCCCCATGAAGCAGAACTTCCATGATTTTTTCTTAGCTTACCTTTTTCTGTCATCAAATCCTGCCTTGCACTACCCCAAGTTCCAGGAGTCTGGGGGAACAGTCATGTGTCTCCCCCTTTTATTCTCTCTGTCAGGGATCCCTCTCATTGTTTTTGGAGCTTTTGAGTGCTAGCTGGCTCTGGCTTCCCTGTCCCAGGCTGAAGCCACCGGGTCAGAATGGCCTAGATGGGGGCCGGCTGGGGGGCGGCATGTGGGTCAGCGGGCTCCAGGAACCAGGGGTATCCAGCTTCCGCAGAACAGCAGTGCCCTTGGCTGCTGTGGCTGGGTAGTGGCCATCTTCCCTCGCATCCTCAGGAGGGGTCCTTCGTACTCTGCTCTTTACCTCCAGGGATGGGAGGCTCCCTGTTGCCTGGAGTAGCCTATTCCTGTGTCTGCTGGCTGCGCTCTCCTTTTACAAATATGAGCCCAAACAAATGGCCCTGTAACTTCCACCTGTTGGGGGTGTGAAAGCCCGGGTTGTCAGAGCAGGACCCAGTGGGGCCCATTCTGAGTAAACCACCTTCCAGTGAAGACGGACGGTTATCCCCTGGGTCAAAGCTGCCATCTAGCGAACTCCTCTGTAATCGTAATTCTTTCTATTGTCTGAGGCTTAAGTGACAGAACATGGGTGCTCTCAGCACTGTGCCCAGCCCAGATTAAGCACTAACGAACGGCAGCTGGGATGCTGAGCACACACCCGTGTGATGCCCCCGGCTCTGTGAGCACTGTACCAGGAGCCTATGCTTGGAGGCTTTGCATCGATTAATCCTACCCAATCTTCTTCACGTAACAGAGAAGAGAATACAGATCGCTTTAAACACCTTTTCTTATTTATTCTTCACAGACACACCAGGAGGTGGGCAAGAGAAGCTGTACTCCAGTCCCACCTTTAAAGAGGGTATTAAGGAGGGCACGTGTTGTGATGAGCACTGGGTGTCGTATGTCATTAATGAATCATTGAACGTGACACCAAAAACCAACGATGTACTTATACAGTGGCTAACCGAACGTAATAAAAAATAAATAAAAAGAAAAAAAGAGGAAATCGTGGTGCAGCAAGGCTGGGTGACTCGGCCAAGATTTGCATGAGTGGGACTGGGGGTTCGATCTAGCCGCAGCCTTCTGGTTCCAGACCCATGTCTCTCTCTACCGCTCCTTAGTTTATCATGAGGTGAAGCGGAAGCGGGTGTGAGCTGGAATTGTGGAGGCATGCTTTGAGTGCCGACTGTGTACCAGGCCCTGTGCAATGGTTGAAAGATGAGTACAAAGATGAGTAAGACTGACTGGTTTGTTTCCCAGCCGGTCAGCGAGTCAGTCGTCCCTGTCCCTGCCCCCCAACAGTGGAACAGGGATGCACGTGCCCAAGGGGTGAGGCAAGAGGAATCTGGGAGGGCTCTGAGCCCAGCAGCCCCCGCTGTGGGGGTTCCTCTCTAGTTGCTAAGTTACCAGTGTTCCTCTCAAAGCCTGAGCTGCCAGCGGTGGCCATGTGGGAAGCCTGGCCCTCCCCAGCCTTCCAGCAAGGTCACCTGGTCCTTCTGTGCCCACTGCAGCCCAGCCTACGGAGGCCGCCTGTGTTCAGGGCCTGAGTTCCAGTACCAGATATGCAACAGCGAGGAGTGCCCTGGGCCCTATGAGGACTTCCGGGCCCAGCAGTGTGCCAAGCGCAACTCCTACTACATCCACCAGAATGCCAAGCACAGCTGGCTCCCCTATGAGCCTGAGGACGGTGAGTGAGCCTCTCCCCCAACCCCCTCGTGTCCTTGGGTGTCTGCTGGGTCCCTGTCTTCCTGGGGGCGGAGGCCTCCCATGCCTGGGGTTGCCAGTGGAGGTGGAGGGACAGTCGGGGCACCATAAGGGACATGCAATAGACAGGCCCTTGTGCTGTGTGCCTTGGGGCCAGCAGTCCTCATTAAAGCCATCCCTGATTGGTGCATTTATGCTGACTGTTCTCTGGCAGGGAAAACCCCCCGAACCATGGACCCTTCACCCCGAGGTGCCATTGAGGCCGGTGGCAGCGTTGGCCGTTGGGTTGGTGCCCCTGACATGGGTCCGTATGTGTACAAGAAGGCACTCTACGGGTGCAGGTGCCCTGGCTTTGCGTGACCACCGTCCCTAGAGGCTCTGCCCTAGTACCTACTGTGTTTCTAGGTTCTACTGACCGTGCTACTGTTCGAGCAGTTAACAAAGAGGATTTGAAAGGCAGGCAAACATGTTGACAAACATGTTAAGATACACTATCATACATGTGGCTGGGGAAGTATAGGGAGCGGTCAGTTTGGGACTCAAGCCAGACTGCTTAGGTTAGAATCCTGGCTCTTCTACTTAGCATGTGGCTGTGTGGGCTTGAGCAAATTTCTTAGCCTCTCTTGTCCTTGGTTTCCTCCTCTGTAGTGCTAGAATTTTCTTCCTTGGGGTATTGCAGAACTTAAATGAGTTCATTCACAAAAGACATTTGAAGTTTTATATCCAGAGTGTGTAGGAGCACCTGGCTAGCTTGGTCAGTAGAGCACGTGACTAGTTCAATCCCCACCTTGGGCATGGAGCCTACTTACAAAGAAAAAAAGAAAAGAAAAGAAAATAGTGTGTGAAGGTTTTGGAAGCATCTGGCACATAGTAAGCATTCACTAAGTGTTGGTTTATTATTATTACTATTATTTTATCACTTGATTTTCTTTAACATCCTGTGTGGCATTTTACTGAACAGGGATAAGGAACTGAGGCTCAGAGATGTCTGATAATTTGCCCAGGGTCACTACGCAGGGATTTTAAGTCCCAGCTCCACCCCCAGGGATCCCCCCCAGCGCCCCAGAGCTGGCCAGGGAGCTTCCTGCTTGGGACAGGTGCTGGCGTCCTCCTGGGCCAGCCTACTTTCTCTGATCGAGACTGGGAATTCAGCATGGTCTCTGTCTACAGATGCCCAGAAGTGTGAGCTGATCTGCCGGTCGGAAGACACAGGGGATGTGGTCTTCATGAACCAGGTGGTCCACGACGGCACGCGCTGCAGTTACCGGGACCCATATAGCGTCTGTGCCCGCGGCGAGTGTGTGGTAGGTGTCCTGCTCTGGGCCCCCCACCTTCTGGCTTCCCTGGGGAGACTGGAGGGCTGCACTACCTGCCCCTCTTCCTGCTCCCTGGGGAGACCAGCCTCTCCTCACCTGCCCCACCCATGACACACTTGGTCCTCAGCATAATCCTGGATGCTGAAAAGGGATTATGTCCCCAGCCCCATTCAAGGGAATAAGATCTGTGCGTGTCACATGGCGAGTTGGTGGCAGAGACCTGTCTGTCCAGGAGTGCCTCTTGGTCCCTGGTCAACTTGTGGGGACTTGGGACTGCGGAGGGAGTCAGGGGCTGCTAGCATGGGGATGGTAGCAGGGGGAATGGAAGCCTTCCCCTGCTGACCCCACCTCTGGCCTCAGCCCGTCGGCTGTGACAAGGAGGTGGGATCCATGAAGGCAGATGACAAGTGTGGGGTCTGTGGCGGCGACAACTCTCACTGCAGGACTGTGAAGGGGACACTGGGCAAGGCCTCCAAGCAGGCAGGTGAGCAGCCTGGGGCTGGGGAGATGACCAGGAGTGGCTGGGGTTCTGGCCTGGCCATGTGGGCCCTCCTTCCTCTGCTGGGCCACAGTTCAGGCTCGGGTGGGGTGGAGTGGGGGAGGCACCTGGAGCCTGCCTCGGGCTTCCCAGGCTGCCCCGGGCTGCTGAGTTCAGAGCTACAGCTGGCCGCCCCCTCTTCCAGGGTGTGCTGCCTGCATTTGGGCCTGGGAGCTCAGAAGCATTTTTCTGCCATCTAGTGTGGGATGATAGGAGCTCAGCCATCTCTTTGACCCCAGGACTGCTGGGGGGAGTGAGAGCTCAGACAGGTCTGAAGAGGTAGCCCAGACTGGACTGGATTGCTTTTTCTCTTCCTCCCTCCCTTTTTTGGTAAACTTGTGGCACTTCCTGCTTTGAACTCCTGGTACCTTGAGTTCCTTGACTTCCCTCCCCATCTTCAGTCTGGCCACACCTGGCTGATGAAAAGGACCAGGTATTAGTCCTTTACACTTGAGGATGAATTAGTTCCATCTCCTCTTTGAGAGTGTCACAGCTTTGCCTCGCCTCTCCTTGTGGGGGCAAGGTTGACAGCTTCGCGAGAGGTTTGTTTCCAGGGCTGGGATTGGGAGCAGAGAAGCCGTGCTGGGTCTTCATTTAAATCCCTTAAGGTGTGAGAAGAAAGCGAGAGGGACATCGGGAGAGAAAAGGAGGCTCAGGAAAGTGAGGAATAATAATACCTAACATGCATGCGTGCTTACCCACACACCAACCCCTCACACGCCGCCCTTGGACTTGATAAAGCATTTAAGCAATAGGATCTCATTTGACCCTCTCAGCACCTGTGGACAAGGGCCCGTTGCTCTTTTACAGATGAGGAAACAGGTTCTTGGGTACGTGCTAGGGGCGGGGGGCAGACCGCTGGGCAGAGAGGCCACCAGTTCGAGATGCCCACGGATCCTTCTCTGTGGCAGGAGCTCTCAAACTGGTACAGATCCCAGCAGGTGCCCGGCACATCCAGATTGAGGAACTGGAGAAGGTCCCCCACCACATTGGTGAGTGCCGGGGAGCTGGGAGAGGGGCCACCAGGCCCTGGGGTCTGCGCTGAGCTGTGGAGAAGCTGGGAGGGCAGAGGAAAGCATTCTAAAGCATGGGAGATTTCACAAATTTGAATGATGGCAGGGAACCCTTAATTTTTTTTTTAACTTATGTTGAATAGACAACCTGTTCCATGGTTCAGATTTTGGAAGGTGTGAGAAGGCATCCCGTGCCCTCCCAGAGCAGTTTGTTTCCCCAGGGGGCAGCCACTGTTAATTGTACATCTCTTTTGAAGGAAAACCATTTTTGTACAATGTATCAGTCCCCTTTTACTGTGTAACATACCATCCCCAGACTTTGTGGTTTCAAACAAGTGTTTATATTAGCTTATGGTTCTGTGGGCCATCAGTCTGAGCTGGGCTCCTCTCATGTTGCTTCTGCTTCTCTGCCTGGACTCCCCCATGCAAAGGCAGCATCAGGTCAGTCCATTAGATACTGGTTGGTATTGGCAGTTAACCAGTGTGAGGGGGTGACAGGGCCATGTCCCCAGCTGGTTAGCCTGGGATTATTCACATGGTCCTCAGTGGGGGCAAGAGCAGGCAAGTGCTTGCCAGGTCTCTGCTTGTGTCATGCTTGGTAATATCCTGTTGGCCCAAGCAGTCTCATGGCCAAGACTACCCCAGACTCAGGGGGTAGCAACAGACAATCTCTTGGTGGGAAGTATGGTAGAGTCATAGTGCAAGGAGGTGTGCACGCTGGCACAGGAGGAATTTGTAGCCGTTTTTGCAGTCTGCCACATGGACCCTTAAATTATTCTTTTTTAAAAAAATATTTTATTTATTTATTTGACAGAGATCACAAGTAGGCAGAGAGGCAGGCAGAGAGAGAGGAGGAAGCAGGCTCCCTGCAGAGCAGAGAGCCCGATGTGGGGCTCGATCCCAGGACCCGGGGACCATGACCTGAGCCGAAGGCAGAGGCTTTAACCCACTGAGCCACCCGGGCGCCCCGATTATTCTTATTATAATGACACTTAAACACAATCACTAAACCACTCCTTCTAGTAGTTATACAACTACAAAACCAAGAGAGATAAAAAATTAGGGCCCCAAAATAAATCGACAAAGTTCAAATTGAGAACATTAATGTAACGGGAGAGATTTTTGTGTTCATTTGTTTGCTGTGTTCCGTTTGTGCTGAAACCAAGTTGGTGGCCAAACAAATGAATGTGTCCAGAACAGGCAAATCCAGAGAGACAGGAGGGCAGACTCGTGATACCCAGGGGCCAGTGGTGGGGGGCACAGGAGGGTCTGCGGATGGGGGTGATGACTGTCTTCAGGAATCGGATAGTGGTCAAATAGTCACTGAATTCCACACTTTAAAAGGCCAAGTGTGTGTTGGTGAATTAATGTCAATTTAAACGGCACAAGCATGGTTTGGAGCAGGGTCTCAATGAGCAAGCAGAGAAGCCTGCCACCCCAACACTGGGTAGTGGCTGGGCTCTCCCACACTTGTCTGTGTTCAGACCCCTCACAGAGGGCGTGCGAGCCATGATGTCACTGGGCTTCAGCATATCCCAGAGGCCCCTCTTACTTCTTATGCCCACCTGGTCACACTTCTTGTCACTAGCTCTTCCTAAACATGAAAGCAAAACATAACGTCTCTGGGCAGGCTCATCTGTTACAGAAATGCTGATACTCCTATTTTTAGGTTATCACTAAAATAATAGAAAATGTTTTAAAGCATCCTGAGGAAATTGCACCCCTCAGGGAATACACCTGCGTTCACACAGCTGTAATAGAGCCAGGCTGCTCTGGAAGGCAACTGAGAGGGCGCAGTGCAAATAGGCAAGAGGCACAAGGGGAAACCGAGGCCCACAGTGGCTCATGGGCCCTCTGTGTTCCCCGACTCACCCACACAGTGAGCCAGTCTGGGCTGTCTGCTAGCCCAGTGCCCTTGCCTACCACGCCACTCTGCACTGGGAGTGAGAGTCTGGAGGGCTTGGCTTGGCTTGGCCAACTCCCTGCCCACCTGCCTGTCCAACTCTGGGGTATTTTGCGGGAACAGGGGCCAGGAGGGGGGAAGGGGGCAAGGAGGGAAGGGTCATTTACTCCAAGAAGAAGGTGGACCTTGCAGACAGTCCTCCTATCCCACCCCTCAGATGAGTCCATAATACCAGCAGCCCCTTGGGCCTCCTTGGCCTGCCCCTTCTGCCCGGCCACCCCCCACCCCCCACTGCTGCCCCGGCCCCCACCCCCGCCTGCAGAAGTATACTCCTCCCTCCTCCAGAGGTGAGGAGTGCTCTATGAGGGAGGCTGCACACAGACTCCTGTAGGGGTCCAGACAGAAGCTTCTAGAACCCAGGGCAGGTTCAGCTTGGGCAGAAAACACACCCAGTGTGTTTACTGGGTGAGTTCCCTGGAGGTCTAGAGCTCCACAGGAGCTGGGCAGGGAGGGGAGTGGAACTGAGACCTGACGTTGCCACGCACATCGTGTGATTACACACAGGTGAGGTCCACAGCGTGCCCCCAGTGAAAATGTGCAAGGTGTGTATGCATGAGTGAGTGAGTGTGTGCGTGTGTGCCTGCCTGTCGGGGCACGCGCTCTCTGGAGAAGTCCAGGACAGGTGGCAGTGTTGGCAGTGAAGGCCAAGGTCCTGCCCAAACTCGTTGGAGTCTCCAAGAATCTGGGGACGTGGACTCTTTGAAAGGAAACGGGGGGAGGAGAAGCCTGCAGTTACTGTCTCCCCTGTGCTTGCCTCGAGCTGGGACTTTTCCTCTGGCACTGCCCATCAGCCTCGTGATGATCATGGAGGCTCCTCTCTAGCCATGAAAGGCCTCGATGGCATCTTTCAGGAGGAGACTGTCTTCATCTACACTGAAAAATCTCTTGTTGGGCTTAGCCACCTTCTTGAATGATATCAGTCGGATCTTCTGGATAGAAGATCAGTACTTGCTGCCTTACCTTGTACTTCTTTGTTATGGGGTCTGGCTTCTTAAACCTCAAGAACCAACCTCTCCTAGCTTCCAGCTTTTCTTCTACAGCTTCTTCCCCTCTCTCAGCCTTCACAGAATTGAAGAGCATTAGGGCCTTGCTCTGGGGTAGGCTCTGGCTTAAGGGAATGTCGTGGCTGGTTTGATCTTGCATTCAGACCGCTTTCCCCATATTGGCAATAAGGCTGTTTCACTTTCTTACCATTCGTGTGTTCACTGGAGAAAACACGTTCCTTCAAGAACCTTTCCTTTGCCTTCACAACAAGGCTGACTGTCTAGTACAACATGCCTGGCTTTTGGCCCGTCTCGGCTTTGGACTTGCATTCTGCACCAAGCTTCATCATTTCCAGCTTTTTTTTTTTTTTTTAAGATTTTTTAAAAATTTTATTTGACAGACAGAGATCACAAGTAGGCAGAGAGGCAGGCAGAGAGAAAGGGGGAATCAGGCTCCCTGCTGAGCAGAGAGCTCGATGTGAGGCTCGATCCCAGGACCCTGAGATCATGACCCGAGCCGAAGGCAGAGGCTTTAACCCACTGAGCCACCCAGGCGCCCCATTTCCAGCTTTTGATGTAAAGTGAGAGACAGTGACTGCTCCCTTCACTGGAACACTTAGTGACCATTGAAAGGTTATTTGTTGACCTGATTTACTATTGTCTCAGGGCATAAGCAGGCTTGAGGACAGGGACAGAGACAGGGGACAGACCCGTCCATGGAGCAGTCAGGACATGCATGACATTGATCCGTGAAGTTCCCTGCACTATGTGGGCTCGGTGCTTAGTGCCCCAAAACAATTCCAGTAGGAATACCAGGTACCAATGACCACAGATCACCAGAACAAGTATCATACTGAAAATGTCTGAAATACTGCAAGAATTATCAAAATGGGACACAGATGTGAAGTGAGCAACTGCTGTTGGAAAAATGTCACCGACAGACTTGCTTGAGGCCTGGTTGCCACAGATGTTCAGTTTGTGGAAAATGCAGTATCTGAAAAGCACAATGAAGTGAAGGTCAGTCAAACGAGGGATGCCTGTGGTCGCTCAGGGTACAGCGTGGGTCAGCAGTCGGGCCAGGACTCACAGGCGAGCGTGGGTGGTAATGTCCCCAAGAAGCCCAGCCCACCGCCCCTGGAATGAGGGGTGTATAGCCTGAGGAGGGGAGCGGCGACTGCCGAGAGGTGTTGGAGCAGACAGGGTGGTGGGAAGATTTGGGGCTGGGCCTGGCCCGAGGAGCTGCCTGGCTCCAGCCCCAGGTCTGGTGATTTCTGGGGGCTAAGAGAGATTGGGCAATGAGAAATGAGGGGTATCTCTCCTCCTCCTGCTTGCTAGGGAGGCTGGTGCCCTGGGGAGCTGGGCCACCAGCTCTCTGTGCGTCTGGGACAAGCCCTTGCCCCTCGGGGTCCTCTGAGTCTCCATAGGGGCTCATGGTAGCACCAGCCTTGGGACATGTATGAGGAGTCCACAGGGGCAGGTAGCAGAGTGACCGGTGTGTGGTTAATGCTCTGATCGTTGGCTCTCGGGTTGCATAATTACGCAGAATGGTTTTCTTCCTCACCAAGCGGGGACACGCCCAGGCTCTGGAGCCTTTGCTGTCCTACCTGCCTGGGAGGCTTGAGTCCCTGGCTGCAACCCTACCCCGACCTGCTGCTTCCAGGGTGGCCAAGCCTGTGACACCGGGGCCTTTCGCCGGGGGGTCTGCACCTGCATACCTCTCGCCCACCTGCCAGGCACTTTCAGGACCAAATTGCAAGTTACCCACTGATGGGACGTTAGAAGGTAGAAATATACAGATGTTTTTAAAACTCTCCCTCTAGGCCAGGCCCCAAGAACACCAAGATGAAGGTGACAGGCTGTGGGGGGGATGGGACATCTGTAAGGACAACAGTGCCAAGTATCAGGCCCTGTACTGATGGTAATAATAACGCTTACCATTTATTGAGTGCCAGCAGCATACCACGCATGCCGCCTAGTACTTTATGCATATGAACTCTTTTAATTGTTGCAGGAGCCCCGTTGAGCATAGGTGGGGGTGGGGTACCGCAGTTATCCTCATGGGGCAGCAGGCCTATGAGCAAGGTATAGTTAGGATTCTCATTTTATGGATGGTGAAACCGAGACAACACAGGGAACCTAAGTAACTTCCCCAGATCTGTCTGACTCCAGAGCCTGTATTTTTAGGCTTAGGATTCTCCGATAAAAGTCTTAGGGGGCGGGGAGGGGGGCAATTTCTTGAGGATGGAGCAATCAAAGAAGGCTTCCTGGAGGAGGGGAGAATTATGCTGAGCCTTCCATATGAGTGCAGATTAGTCAGGCAGGAGGAAGGGAAGGGAGGACAGGGTGGGGTGCACCAGGGTCCAGAAGCAGGGAAGCTGTCTGCCGTCAGTGTGGTGACTCATCTGATTGTGGACCCTCTGGTGGAAAGGAGTAACGGGTCACAGGGAGCCCCAAGGGGTTCACTAGGAAAGTCTTGGTGCCCCAGAGGAGGTCTGGCTAGTGCTCCTGTGAAGGGGAATAGAAATCTGTGTGACCCTCTCCCCATGGCCAGCGGTGAAGAACCAGGTCACAGGCAGCTTCATCCTCAACCCCAAGGGCAAGGAAGCAATGAGCCGGACCTTTACTGCAATGGGCCTGGAGTGGGAGTACGTGGTGGAGGACGCCAAGGAGAGCCTCAAGAGCAGTGGGCCCCTGCCTGAAGCCATTGCTGTCCTGGTGAGCCCCCACCCTGCATGGTAGCCCCTGTCCACTCCCTTGGTGCCCCAGCCCAGCCTCCCCTAGCTCACTGTCTTCACTATTGAGCCAGCACCGACCTGTTGAAGTCCTCCTGTTGCAGTGTCTTCAGCAGCCTGGGCAAGGTCAAGGCCAAGGTACTCTCTGTGCTTAAAGGCAGGAAGGATGGCAAATGATGAAGGAGAAAGAAGTGGTTGTCTTCCTGTCAGAGGGAGTCTCCTTAATGCAGTGTCAGAAATAGGGCCTAGGAATGAGCAGGAGGCCCCTGGGTTGGTTCCCCATGTTGTCCTGGCATCATCTGGTATCTGCTGGCATTATGGCCTTGCCAACAAGTGACCGGGGGGGGGTGCCGTCTCATGCTGCCAGCTTCCTGTAAAGGGGATGAGGTCACTGTCCTTGCTGGGGCCACCTCTGCCCACACCACCTCTTCCTAGACCATAGACCGGGACTTATAGAGCAGGGACTGTTAATGCAGGACATCAGACCAGGAGGGGCTTTGTCTGCAGGCCCTAGGCACTGGCTGGTGGCAGGGATACTGGGGACAGGTTTTGTTCCTGGTGTTGCCCTCACTAGTCAGAAGATCCAAGAGGGAAGGGTCTGAAGCCTGTTGGGGTCGGCATATTAATTCAATCTATGTGTATTTCTCTTCACCCTAATTTGCTGACTCCCCATACACCTATGGCCAGTGCTTTTCAGCGAGGGTACCAAGACCATTCAGTGGACAAAGAATAATCTCTTCAACTAAAACGGTGCTGGGACAGCTGGATTATTCACATGTAAAAGAATGAAGTTGAATCCCTACCTCACACCATATACACAAAGGAGCTCCAAATAGATCAAATACCCAAGTACAAGAGCTAAAAACCTAGAACCCTTAGAGAAAACAGAGGGCTCAATCCCATGACCTTGGATCATAGTTGTGATACCCAAAGCATGAGCAACAGAAGGAAAATAGGTTAATTGGTCTTCGTGGAAACTGAGAACTTTTGTGTATCAGAAGACACGAGGACAGCCGTGAGAAGACAAGCTGAACAGTATGGGAGAAACCATTGGCCATCCTATGTCCGATAAGAGTCTACCTTATAGACCATCTTCTGGAATCAGGTAGTGCATGGCTGCCCTAGTGAGGAGGACCAGTTGACAGACATGGTTCCTGCCCTCATTAGAACTGATGTCTGTGGGAGGCAGGTGTGTAGCCCGAGTCTGCCGCACAGCTGCTGGTGTGAATGGCCTCCCAGGCCAGGTTGGGTGCTGAGCCCACATCCTTCCCTTTGACTCCTCCTCTCTGGCCCCCCTACTCTGTGCTGGTCTTGCTTCTCTGCTCTCCAGTCCTGTGCCACCTCTTCTGTCTGTCCTCAGGTGCTCCCCCCAGCCGAGGGGGGCCCCCGCAGCAGCCTGGCCTACAAATACGTCATCCATGAGGACCTGCTGCCTCTTATCGGGAGCAACAACGTGCTTCTGGAGGAGACGGACACCTACGAGTGGGCGCTCAAGAGCTGGGCCCCGTGCACCAAGTCCTGTGGAGGAGGTACCAGCCCGTCCGGCCGTCTGGTGGCCTCGTCAGGGCAGCCCAGGGCTTTTCAGGGGAGGGGCAGGAGTGTCTGGGGGCCAGTATTGTCTCCACTTGATCTGTCCCTAGCTTGTGCCTCACTGTCTCCTCAAAGATGTCTCAGGTGTGACATCCTGTCTGGGCAGGGCCGTGGGGATGGGGCTGGGATGCTGGAGCAGTGGTGAGGCTGGGCCTGCACCCTTTGAGGGCTCCCCAGCTTGGCAGAGAGGCAGCCCTCCAGCCAGGTCCTCTCCTCCCTCACCCAGGGACATGGGAGATGGGAGGATCAGGACTTCTTCAGAAAGCGACTGGGGCAGGAGGGGTGCAAAGGCACAGAGGGAGGGAGGCTTCGCCCTCCAGGCTCTCCACAGTTTGGCATCCCCTAGGCCCAGCAGAGCAGTGGGGGCCTGGCAGGACCAAGCCCAAGTCAGTCTGCCCTCCCCACAGGGATCCAGTTTACCAAATATGGCTGCCGGCGCCGCCGTGACCACCACATGGTCCAGCGGCACCTGTGCGACCACAGGAAGAGGCCCAAGCCCATCCGCCGGCGCTGCAACCAGCACCCATGTGCCCAGCCCGCGTGAGTGTCCCCGAGGAGCGACTGCATTTCCAGGGGTGTTGCTGACCCTCCCTTGGCCAGGAGGGGGAGCTGCCGGGCCCACTTCCTCTGGTCCCAGAGTGTGGAGGCATACCGCCCTTTGTCTCCAGCTCCCCGGGCAGAGCAGACCACTGGGCAGACTCTGCCCGAGGCCCACGCTGCCCTCCTTGCCCACCTGTCCCCTGTGGGGCTTCTGGGTTAATTTCCACTCCCGGAAGAAGGATGGTGCTCCCTTTGTTCTGCCCCTTCCAGCATTCTTTAACAGATGGGGAAACCAAGGCCCACTTTGGGGACATCGCTTTCCCTCAACGATCTGAGGGGTCTGTGAGGTGAGGTGGATTTCAGTGCTTGTAGGCTCTGGGCCATAGGCCGTAGCCGCAGCCGTGGTCTAGCCCCCACTGGGTTCCCTGGCCTGAGGAGACGGGTTCATTTGAGCACAAGGTCGTATTCTTGGGGCTCTTTGGAGGGGGCTTTGTGGAGAGGAAGAGCTATGACTTGTCAGGGATTCAATGTCTGGCCTTGAGCCTGTCACAGAGGTGGCCCCAGCACCTCCTCGGCCCCCAGGCAGAGAGCTGAGGCCTTTCTCCAGCCTCCTCAGGAATCCTTGGGGGTCCGAGCAGTCTAACTTGGCCTTGCTGACTCACAGCAGCTCTGCTCCCTCAGGCTGAGGGAGCCTCAGGGCCGGGGGAGGGGGAGCTGGTGACTGGCACGGAGCCCACAGTGGCCTCCCTGTGCCAGGCTTGGGCCGGGCTACTCTGCTCCCCAGCCCTCTGCACGTCCCTTTCACGCCATATGCAGACCGTTTTCCCGCCAACGTCCATGGCCACAGAGCACGTGGTGCTCACTCCACTGTGGTCATGGGCGGGTCACCCCACCTGGCTTCTCATCTGTAAACTGCCAAGTGAAGTTTGGGGCCTTTTTGTTTTTTGTCTTTTAAAGGAAGGGGTTGGCCGAAAGAGCCCTTATTCACTAAAAGATGTCTCAAGAAACACGGGAGTAGGGGTTGGGGGCTGCCTCCCACCCCGCTAACCCTCCCAACCCCCGTTTGGTCTTTGTCTAACTCAGCCAGCAGCGTCGTCTACTTCTCGTGTTCTTGGGGGCTGCTCTGGGCTGGAAGACATTGGAGACCACCAGCTTAGCCGATCAGCACCAAAACTCCGCAGGTGCTGATGGTGATAATATAATAGTATCTGCATATATTATGTGCCTTCTGTGTGCACACACTCTGCCAAGTGCTCTAAGTTTACAAGTCCTTTTAATTGTCCCAGGAGGCTCAGGGGAGAGGCTTCAGTTCTACAAGCTGCCACTCTGTTTTGTGTCCCGCCATAGCTCAGCACCTAGGACAGTACCTGCCCACGGGAGACACTCTGCTAGTTACCAGGTGTTGAAGGAATCCTGATGTGAAGATGAGGCAGCTGAGTTCAGAGGCGTTAATAGCTTGCCTGCAAACATGCAGGGTGCCAGATTTCAGGATGAATTATACCCATTTTTCAGATGAGGAAACAGAGGAGAGAGTAAGTGACCTCCATGAGGGCACACAGCCTGGCAGCTGCAGACCCAGGCAGGTGGCTGTCTTGGCTCCCAAGCATTCTGAAACTAAAAACCCACTCTCCAGCTCCTGCCTGCAGTGATTCAAGGGGTGGGAGTGACCCTGCAGGGAAGTGTCCCCCTAGTCCCTCCTCTCCTCCACCTTTTGCCTTGTCTGTCTCCAGGTGGGTGACGGAAGAGTGGGGTGCCTGCAGCCGGAGCTGTGGGAAGCTGGGGGTGCAGACCCGAGGGGTGCAGTGCCTGTTGCCCCTCTCCAACGGTACCCACAAGGCCATGCCGGCCAAGGCCTGCCCTGGGGACCGGCCCGAGGCCCGGCGGCCCTGCTTCCGTGTGCCCTGTCCAGCCCAGTGGCGCATGGGAGCCTGGTCCCAGGTGAGTTGTTCCCAGAGGGCAGGAGGGGCTGGACCAGCGGGCACCTTCTCTGGGGAGTCCTAGAAAAGGTGGCTCTGGGTGAGGCATTGCTAAAAGGTATGATGCTCCCTGCAGGCAGAGAGTCTCTGACTGCATTTCTTTCCCCCATCTGATCTGATCCCATCTGATCTTTCTCAAAACTAAGTCCAACAGCTCCCACGTCTGCTGGGCCAGGTTTCTAGGCTAGGCCTTTCTATTCATTCACTCTCCACTTTGACCTAGATCTGGGTCAGAATTAGGAGGCATGGGCTAATATCCTTGTGACACAGGTGGGCAAACGGAAGCACTTTCTTGCACTCAAGAAGTATTTACTGAGTGCCAACTACATGCCAGGCATACTGTACTAGGAATGTCTGGAATCCATCGTTGACTAGATGTGATTCTTGGCCTCGTGTAGCATCTAGTCCGGTAAGAGAGAAGGAAGAGATAAGTAAACCAATAACAAAAGCATTAACAGGTTGCAGCTGGAGCTATGCGGAAGCGAATGGGGGTGATGTATCTGGGAGGGCTTCCTTGTGGAGGTGACATTTGAGCTGAGACATGATGGATAAGCCCCAGAAGGACCCTGTGGCAGGAACAACTTTGCTATGTTCCAGAAACCAAAAAGACAGTGGGACTGGAGCTGAATGGAAGGGACGGGGCCTACAGGATGATGGAGAGGCAGGCAGGGGTCAGTGCTATGGGGTCTTTGTGAGGAGTTAGAATGGATCCTAAGAGCAGTGAGAAACTCTTGAGGGGTTTTCATATGGGCGTTCCAAGCTCTGGTTCCAGGTGTAAAAGATCACCTAGCAGCTCTGAAGAATGTTTGCTGTTGGAAGGCCAGGGTAGGAAAGGAGAGACCATAAGGAGTATTCAGTCCAAGTTCTCCTGGCTAAGCCCTCGAAGTGGCCACGGGGAAATTTTCTGCCTTTAGTTTTCTCTTAAAAGTTCATCTGATGCAAACCTTGAACGTGTTATGCTAAGGGAAACCAGCCGGACATGAAGTGACAAATGCTGTGCGATTCCACTTACCCACGTTCATAGAGAAGCTGAATAGGAGGGTGGGTGCCCGGGGATAGGGGAGGGGGCGGGGGAGTTTGTGTTTAGAGGGGACAGGGTCTCAGTTTAGGAGGAAGGAGAAAGTTCTGGGCGTGGTGATAGAGATGGTCATACCACAATGAGAATGCCCTTGTCGCCACTGAACTGGACACTTACAAAGGGTTAAAATAGTAAATGTTATGGTATCTATGTCTTGCCATCATTTTTAAGACCTCATTTGGTCACAAGGATAAGCACAACAGTACTTATTGTAATAGCGGAATTTCAGGCGATACTCTAACTGCCCATCTGCAGGGGATTGGACCCTCAATCAGGGTCTGATCTACAGTAAAATAGCCCAGACAGAGAAAAATAAATAAGCTTGAACTGTACTTAAGCAAGATAGGTAAACCTCAGAACAGGCGTGAGAGGAAAGTGCAGGAGTACGGAGAACGATCACTTCCAATGGAACGGAGTGCATCTAAAGTTTAAGAAGGCGCCACACAGTATTTGAAAACGTGCCCAAATGCTGATTTATGAAAGCTGGTGTTGGTATTTGAACAGGCTCTCGTGACAGACTTTCCAATACTTTAACGTACGCTGGAAACATTACATAATAAAGGGTATTTTTAAATAATCCCAAATCCCTACACGACTTATGCAGACTTTAGTTTCTTCTCCCTAACATATAGCTTTATTTGTTTTTGTTTTTTTTTTTTTTTTAAAGATTTTATTTATTTATTTGACAGACAGAGATCACAGGTAGACAGAGAGGCAGGCAGAGAGAGGGGGGGAAGCAGGCTCCCTGCTGAGCAGAGAGCCCGACGTGGGGCTCGATCCCAGGACCCCGAGATCATGACCCGAGTCGAAGGCAGAGGGTTTAACCCACTGAGCCACCCAGGCGCCCCAATAGCTTTATTTGTTTTAATATAAAACAGACAGCTGGTCTAACAGAAGACGCTTTCGAGAAAACTGACAGCAGGGGAATGGCGGGTTGGGGAGGGGTCAGGGAGAGTGGAAGTTCATTGCCCTGGTAAGATTGACCCCTCAAGGGCTACTGTCATTCTGCAACCTGGGGGGTGGGAATGAGATATGTCATCCCACAGTCTGTGTGGCCCTCCGTGCCCGTGTTTCCCTCAGGCCCCAACAGGAGAAGTACGCGTCTGTAAGGTCTTCCCCATCCCACTAGGAGAGGCGGGGAGCAGTGCTGACCAAGCCATGTGACCCGGTCACGCCAGGTGGCCTTGCTCTTTGGGAGCTGCTGCCACCAGTCTCCATCTCTCAGAGGAGATGAGGCCCGGGAACTGAGGTGCACAGTGGCCCTTGGAGACTGTGCTCCTGTGCCTTGCCTTCTCCGGGAAGAAGACACTTCCGAGCCCGCCTCTGCCGGCTGAGTTTCAGTACACGGAGTCACAGAGTCTTTGAATGTCAGAGCTAGAGGGGTCCGGGGTGCCCGTGTCACCCAGCTCACTCAGCCAAGCAAGTGTCGCAATCCGGGTCCCTCCATCCTGTTACTAAGATACCATCGAGCGAGTGGACCTGCCCCAGGTGCCTCAGGCTGGTGGATTGCAACAAGGGGGTTGGCCAGAATGATACCCAAAGTATTTCAGGCCCCGGGAACACAGACTAGACATGGTGGGACCAGGCAGAAGGGCTGGAATGGGATCCCCGAGGTCCCCTGCTGAGCTGCTTAGGTGACACAAAGGGTCCGGGAGCTCCGAGCGGAAGAGTACTGACGTGAGCGTTCTGTCCTGGGGAGGCTCTTCACTGCTGTCCTCCCATGTCCCTCGGGTCACATAAAAACTCAGTGCCTTTGCACCTTTCTATCCTGGGCATTGGCTGGACTCTGGAGCTCACCACCCCCTCCCTCTTGTCTCTCCACCTGTCCCCCTGCCCCGGCTGCTGGGGCCTGGCCCACCTTCCCGGCCCAGTGCTCTGCCACCTGTGGAGAAGGCATCCAGCAGCGACAAGTGGTGTGTCGGACCAACGCCAACAGTCTCGGGCAGTGTGAGGGGGACAAGCCGGACACCGTTCAGGTCTGCAGCCTGCCAGCCTGTGCAGGTGAGCTGGATAGGGTGGGGGCAGGCCCTGCTCCCCTGGCCGAGGCCTGAAACCCAGTCCGGCTGGCATCCTGGCCCCCTCGAAATCCCAAACCCTAGAGCTGCTTCTCCCTGCTCCCAGGAAATCTCCAGAACTCTACAGTGAATACTGACATTCAGGAACCTGTGACCCCAGAAGAAGAGTGGGTGCCACAGTCTGGGCCCCTACATCCCATTAACAAGATATCATCAAGTAAGTGTTTCTTGGGACTTCACTTCCTCCCCAGACCTTCCTGTGGTTGTAATGTCACGAGCACGGGCTGTGGGTGGGGGTGGACAGCCCCAGCTTCCAGTCCACGTGACCTTAGCCTCCTGGAGCCTCTGATTCCTCAGCTGTGAGCTGCGGGTCTTGCCCATGCTGGTCCACAGACCCTTACCTGCACTGCCAAAATGTTGAGAGCTGCAAGTGTTTCCCTAAATTTGGTGCAAACTCACCAGGCCAGAATCTGGCCAGATGCAAGAGATCACTATTCTTTTGCTATAGAAACATTGCTGTAGTTACAAGGGGATGTCCCACTCCCCACTCGGGATTGTTCTGTAACATGAAGAATACTTCTCAAACTTCAGAAGTTCTGAATTATGAATCCAACTGGTTTCAAGATTTTGGATAAGCAATTATAGATCTGGACTGTCTTCATAGGGCTATTGAGAGAATTAAATGAGACAGTCATGCACTCCTGCCTAGCTGTCAGCTAACATCAAAAATAGTAATAATAGTGCTTTCTCTCTGCCTCATGATCAGGAGCTCATTAGTCCACCCTCCCATTTTTCCATCCATCCACCCATCCACCCACCTCTCCATCCTTCCGTCCATCCATCCACCCACCTATCCATCCATCCATCATCCATCCACCCACACATCTGCCCATCTACCCATCCATCCATCATCCATCCATCATCCATCCACCCATCGATCCATCCACCAATCCATCAATTAATATTGACTGGACACCTGCCAAGAACCAGGGCCTGTGTTCTAAGCTTCCTTCCTAGAATTTTTTCCTTCACTTTTAGTTCCTCACCTTCTCAAGGACCAGAGTCTGATAAGACAAGTAGCAGAAAAATAGACCTTAATTTCTAGTGGAGGACCAGCTGACGGTGTGACCCTATGCAAATCCCTAAACCTCTTTGAACTCAATGGTCTCATTTGTAAAAAAAAAAAAAAAAAAAAGAAAGAAAGAAAGAAAGAAAGAAAGAAAGAAAGAAAGAAAGAAAAGAAAAGAAAAGTGGGGACTCACTAGATGTGCTCAGAGTATCTTCTAGCTCCCTCCTTACTGCTGTTCTGCACCCCCTTCCAGGCTGCTCAAGTGCCCCCCCCCCCTACAGATTGGGCTCCGGATTCTGGTCCTGGAATTCTGGCGCCATCTAGAGGCCACTGGCTTTCCATTTTTCCCCCAATCTATCGTGTTCCCCCAAACCAGCCCCCAGCCTCTTCCCCATCCCACCCCTGCAGCCTCCCCTCCATGCCCTGGGGCAAAAACTAGTAGAAAGCGGAGCTCCTGCCTTCACATGGTCTGGAGAGACCTACCTGGAATTATCACAGAAACACAAAAACATTTTTAGATGCTATTTGAACTGAAGCAAGTGAAACTAGTGTAGAGGGCAGCCCTGTGTGCCAGGAACTTCATAAAGGGTATTTGTCTTCATAAAGTTATTATTCACCAGCAGATGTATAGCGTTATTCCATTTTATAGGAGAAAAAACAGGGTTGGAGAGTTTAAATGCCTTGCCCAAGGGCTCGTGCTTTTTAAGCAGCAGAGCCTCAGTTGGATCCCAGATCTGCTTTATTCTGGATTTATTGGTGGAGGTCTTCAGATGCCTGTTGATGGGTACCAGGACGTTTCATCTGCTTGTCCCACATGTGGGTTTGCCGGGCATCTGCCTGGGCCTGGCCCGAGGGGATCAATTCCTTTGGGTTGATGGAGAGGGGCCGAGGGTTCCCACTTCTTCAAGAGCAGAGTTCCCAAGCTTTGCTGCAGGTCACAACCCCCCCAGTGCCCAGGCCACACTGACCGTCCAGTCTCCCTGGGCATGGCTCTTTGTCAAGCCCCCACCCCCACTGCGGGGGGTTCCACTTCTCAGCCAAGTCTGATGACTGGTGATGTAGGGCTTGTGATGCTCAGGTTTCTCGTTGCCTTGGAATCACCTCAAAGGTTTTGTTAAAATCCGGAGCTGGGCTCCACCCCCCGAATTTCTGATTCGGTCCAGCTGGATGGGGCCTGAGAATCAGCATTTCCAGCAAGCTTCCAGGTGATGTTGATGGTTCGTGTGTGGGGACCCTCCTTGGAGAACTGCTGCTCTAGGGAGTTTTAATTCCTCTTCCATAGAATAAAGGCTCTTACTCTGGCCAGTGTCTCCCTCAGGCAGCACTGTGGCACGCTCCGGCAAAGAGCTTTAGAGCGGGTCCAGCGAGGGCAGGAGCTGGAGGGCCTGCTGTTGCTGGGCGGAGTGGGGTGGGGGGAGGCCTCCTCCCGGCATCGGTCCTTGTGCTGTGTGTGCAGCAGAGCCGTGCACGGGGGACCGGTCCATCTTCTGCCGGATGGAAGTTCTCGATCGCTACTGCTCCATCCCTGGCTACCACCGGCTCTGCTGTGAGTCCTGTACCAAGAGGGCCGTGGGCCCCGACACCAGCCTGGACCCAAGCCTGACCTCAGCACCACCCTTCTCCACCCCCGGGAGTCCTCTGCCAGGACCCGAGGCCCCTCCAGATGCTGTGGAGCCCACCGTGGGGCCGACAGGAGCAGATGACCATCAGCATGGCCGGCCCACACAGCTCCCGAGGCCTCTGGGCACCAGCTCCCCAGTGACCCAGCACCACTCTCCTCCCCAGAATCTGAGTCCTCGGGCATCCTGGGGCACTTCCCCCAGCGCCCCCCGGGGACTGCCCTGAGGCTGGACCAGGGCACCTGTGCCCGTCTCCAAGGATAAAGGACAGCTCAGGGAAGCCCCGAAGCCCCCAGGCACCAGCCTCCCCACTACATCCCTGGTCACATGAACCTCCTCTTGCCTCTCCCACCAGTCAAGTTTACAGTGTGTGCTGCCTCAGAGAGGACCGGGCTCGGAGGACACACAGCGGGACAGGGCAAACACAGACTGCCTTATAAATTATTTGCCTTCTTGTTGTTCTAGTTTAGGGCTATGGCACTTCACCCCATGATGTGGGTGTGCGAGGACGAAAAAGATCAGGGAAAGCCCCTAACCGGAGACCCGGGGGCGACACAGCCGAATTTCTCAGGGGCTCCTGTCCGTCTCCTGGCGGGACTGAGGGTCGTCTGGCCCCTCTTCCTCACGGCCACACCTTGGGCCCCATGCTGGATCCCTCCAGCTGCCTGCCTTTGCCAGCACATGTGGGGACCACCATGGAGGCTCATTCTGTCCGGGTGCCCTGCCCAGAGAGGCCAAGTGGGGCAGGGAAGGTGAGGAGGAGCGTTCTCAGGGCAGTCCATGGGGAAAGGGGCGCGGGTGCGTGTGGTCACGAGGCTCTGGCTCCAGGGCTGGGGGGGGTGGTCGGTGGGGAGGCAAGTTCATCTCAGGCCCAGCTCTTCTTAGCAAGAGCTCCACACAGCTCCTCCCGCCAAGGCCAAGAGCAGAGTCCAGCTCATCTCTGCCGGCTGGAAGGCAGAGTTGGCCACGTCTGCCCTTGCCGAGGGCATTTCCTGTTCCTTCTGGTGCTTCCCAACTTCACTCAGCCCAGCCCAGCCCAGAGAAGGGGGCTCTGGACTCTCTGGAATGTGTGTCCCCCTCATCCAGGGCCAGCTGGTGCTAGCCTGCCCGCTGAAGCCAGAGTGTCAACCTTGGCCATCATGCTGGGGCATGAAGGGAGGCAGACGTGGAAGGTCACTTTGTGGGACACAGAAACAGGAGTTCTCAGGTCGTGCCCCATCAAGCCTTGGTCTCCGCCAAAGACCGCTCCTCCTGGAGTCAGGGGTCTTCTCCCGCATGGCTCGAGCTGGGCCAGAGGTTAGTGGTGCTAGGGCAAGGGGGTGTGGTCATGTCCCCAGGCTGAGGACCAGAGTCCCCCTCCAACAGGCCCAGTGGCCCCCGGCAGGATGTAAGCCTTGCTCCATGTTGGAGTGGGGAGTGGAGATGTGACCCACAGTGCTGTGGGACCTCAGCCACCCTCCGTGTTACCTCCAAAGACAGGTGACTTCTCTAGACCTCTCAGGAAACCTCCTGGGTTCCCAGGAATTCTCCCAAGGGTTCTTACTCCCAGTCATGCAAGGGTCTCCCGGACTCCGCAACGGGTGCTAGAGGCACTTGCCAGGCTTCCTTCCCAGGGACAGGGGTGGGGGGCTGTTCTGAGCAGGCTGGAGGACTAGGAGCAGTGGGTCCCTGTTTGCAACCTCTGGAGAATAGCGGCCCTGGAGGGGGCCCCCTTGTGCCCTCTCCATCCACTGCTGCCCCTCCCTGGGATGCTGGGACGCATGCTGAGTCATTCCTGTGAGCCCCAAACTGCCCGCTTTAGGACACACATTCTTGTGCCTCTGAGATCCAGATATCTACATTTTTATGTATTTATTAACACTGTCCTTGGTGTTTTGTTTTGGACCCCAAAGTGTCGTGTTGTGTTTTTCTTGTTCTCTCTGTTCTAGAGGAAAAGGTCTGTGAAGCAACTTTTTTACGTGCTCTGCTGGGCAAGATAAGTAGGGGGAGGGAATGGACTGGGGGTCAGTCAGGGCCGTAGACCCTCAGCCCCCTGCCTTGGCCTCACTCGTTCTGGGGTTCCTCTGAGCACTAGCTCAGTGTGGAGACGCAAGAACAGCGCCACGGGCTGGGGATTCTTCCATTCAGTAGTTCTGTGGCCTTGGGTAGGTCACCATCCAGAATCTGATCCAAAGGATAGACATGCCTGGGAGGTGGTTTCGGGGTGTGCTTAGGGAAGAATGTTCTAATTAGCGGAGCTGTTCAGACATGCAAAAGGTGTCTTCTGTAGACGGTGCAGGGGGGTGCTGAGGACTCTCCCCAGAAAAGTCCAGGCAGAAAGAGAGTGCCAGACAGGAGGGAGAAGGAACGTGACCCGCCTGGGTGAGCAGGGAGAGCTGATGGAGCTCGTAGAGCTTAAAGCCGTCCCTCCGTGCCTCATACCTTGCTGGGTCACACATCGCTAATCCACCACCACACTTTGTATTTTTTAAGAGCGAGAGAGGTGTGGGGAGGGGCAGAGGGAGAGAGAGAATCTTAAGCCGGCTCCACAGCCAGTGTGGAACCCAAAGCGGGGCTCGATCTTATGACCCTGAGATCATGACCTGAGCTGAAATTAAGAGTTGGACGCTTAACCGACGGAGCCACCCAGGCGCCGTGCCCCCCGTCCGCCCGACCATGGTCTTTTAATGAATATACCCCAGGCCCTTCCCTGCCAGTTGTGGAGCTCGGAATTGGGCACAGAGACCCCCTCCAGGCCTCACCTGCCTGTGTGCAGACAGTCTAGCCTGCAAGTCCGAACTCCCTTTATATCCATCTGCAGACAGCCTCCCCCTGAGAACCACCTGTTCTAAACATACTGCTGGAGCCTAGGGGTGCACACACAGTGAGCTGTCACTCCTTAGGGGGGCCTAGGGAGAGGCCGGCTCAGGCCCTACAGTTGCTCTCATGACTGCTCAGACAGGGATTTTGTGGGCCGAGGCACCCAGAGTGTCGTTTGAAAGAGCAGGATCCCGGGGCCTGGGTGGGCCTGTGTCTTTGGCTTGGGGGCAGAGGGGGCCCCCCAAGAGCCCCAGCACCCCAGCTCTGGTAGTGGGCAGGTATTACACCTGGGCATGTGTGCAGAGGTGCCCCATTTGTGTGCCACGGCAGACACTGCCAAGCAGTGGCCGCACTGAGCCTGAGCTGCTGTAGGAATCCTTCCTAAAGTTGCCATCATCAGGACAAGGAGCAGTAATTTGAACACCGTCGGGAACCCGTATTCAGCCATCTCAGGCAGAAGTGCCATATCTCAAAGCAGGTCTGCAGAGCTCCAGTCCGGGCAGAGCGACCCAGAAGCCAGCCCTGAGGAAACTCCACTGGTCTTTAGGGCCCCCACAGAGCCTAGTGCAGGGTGAGATCGCTCTAGAGAGCATTTGGGCCCTAAGATTCTGGGGGACATGACCCCTCTGCTCATCTCAAAAATGGCAGTGAAAGCATTTGCCCTGTCTACCAGTGAAAACAGCAGAAACAACCTGACCAGGAAATGCAAGGGACGATGGGGAGAGTGTCTCCCAGGGATGGCATTGACCCTGGCGAGTTCCTGCAATGGAGCTTAGGGGACCCGCTCCTCCTGGGGGATCAGATGACCTGTTGGCTGTGCCATAGGAGTGGGCCAGAGTCAGAGTCCAGGTTCCTGAAAAAGCCCCAGATGTCCACCTGAGGAGTCTTACTCCTTCTCTAGTCTCCCTATAGCCCTTCTGCCCATGAAAGTGTTGGCCAGGGCCTGGAGAGCCTAAGCCACACTTTTTTTTTCTTTTTAAGATTTTATTTATTTTAGAGGGGGGAAGAGCATAGGGAGAGGGAGAGAGAAACTCTAACAGACTCCGTTCTGAGTGCCTGGCTCAGCAGGAGGCTCAATCTCAAGACCCTGAGATCACGACCTGAGCTGGAACCAAGACTTGGATGCTTAACCGACTGAGCCCCCCAGGTGCCCCTTCAAAGTGGTACCTTCTTAGCTTCTCAGAGGGTTGAGCTTGCGTGGCAAGCAGATGAACTAAATTCCAGAGTGACAAGCCCTGATCAGCCGAGAGGGTGTAGGGAAAAGTGGTCCACAGAGGGGCAGGTAAGAAAATACAAGTGAAGTTTAACAGATTTGTAAATGTCAGTGTGACAATTTAGAATCATTGGGTGCTCCGTGCACAAGGCAAGGGTTGGGGAGTGTAGCTCTCTACGTCCTCATCAGCTCTTGTCCATAGGCCTCTGCTGGATGTATGGGAGAAAGATCTAGGGCTCCAGCCAAGCTGGAGAATGCAAATGGAGGAGGCAGTCAATACACATCAAAATACCTCTCCACAGAAAACCGTAAGAATATCTAACAATAGATTGTTCATGAATCACAAGACTCAGTGTTGGTAAGATGTCGATTACTGGCGACTGGCAATTACAGTCCCATAGTGATCTATGAATTTAATGGTATTTCAATCAAAATTTCAGCAGACTGTTCTCTGTTTCTTTGAGAATTGGAAAAAGTCATTATGTTTTTATGGAAATAAAGAGCATCTAGAATAGAATAGCCAAAACAATTCTGAAAAAGCAACTGAGTGGTCCAACTTAAACTACCCGATTTCACAACCGTGAAATCACAACCACACAACCATGGTGCTGAGATAATTCAATTAGGATAGGTGAGTCTTTTCGATAAATGATCCAAGAAATTGGAGACTCCAGATGAACAAAAATAAACCTCAACCCTCGTATCCTATACAGAGATTGACTCGGTCCAAATGGGCAATCCACTTAAAGGTATGAACCAAAGCAGTAACACTTCCAGAAGGAAACATTAAAAAAATACCTTTGTGACTTCGGGTGAGACAGAAATGATAAGGAAGGTATTCGCCACAAAAGAAAGAATGGACACATTGGACGGGTCAAAACTAAGAGCTTCAGTTCCTCAAAAAGCAGTGGCAAGGAAGACAAAACACCAGAAAGTCTTTCTACATGTATATCTGGAATTGGACCCGCAACCGAAATACGTAATGAACTCTCCCACAATCCGATAAAAAATAGGCAAAGGGCTCGGACATTTTTCCAGAGATGTACAATGACTAGTTAAGCCCATGAAGAGGGCGCTCCCCATCATGAGTCATTAGTGAAATGCAAGTTCAAACCACAGAGGGATAGTATCTCACACCTACAGGAAGCGTTAAAATGGAAAAGAAGGATCACATCCAGGGTCGGGACGTCATTAGTCAACTGGAACTCTTTACTTGGGGGTGGGGACACAAAATGGTACAACCACTTCAGAAAATAGTTTGACAAATTTTTATGAGGTTAAACACACTTATCCTCAACCTAGCAATGCCTCCCCTATGTTGTATCTACACGAGGGAAAGGGAAACGTCTGCCCACAAAAGGACCTGTGTGCAAATGTCCACGGCAACTTTATTTCACGTCTCCTCCACCTGGAAACAACCCAGATGTACCACGTCTACCAAACAGCGAATGGAGAGATGAATTGTGCCATATCCATACAACAGAGTTGTACTCAACGATAAAAAGGCATAAGCCACTCATATATACATGCATACGTTGACCTGGCTGGATCGTGCTTCATGAAAAAAAGCCAGGCCTCAAAGACTACACATTGGGCAGTTCCAGTCATAGGATATTCTGAGAAACTGTTAGGACAGAAAGCAGATCCCTCATAGCCAGGCTGGGGGTGGGAGAGAGGGTTGGCTGGGAGAGGGTACAAGGGAACTTCCTGGAGTGAGGGAGATGCTCTCACTCTTGATGGTGTTGGTGCTGCACATGACTGTCACACACTTTAAAATGGACTTTATTGTGTGCAAATCAAATCGCAGTTAGAAAAAAAAAATTGAGGGGCACCTGGGTGGCTCAGTGGGTTAAAGCCTCTGCCTTCGGCTCAGGTCATGATCCCAGGGTCCTGGGATCGAGCCCCGCATCGGGCTCTCTCTCTCTCTGCCTGCCTCTCTGCCTATTTGTGATCTCTGTCTGTCAAATAAATAAATAAATCTTAAAAAAAAAAAGAAAAAAAAATTGAAATCGTGGCACCTGGGTGGCTCAGTCCATTAAGCATCTGACTCTTGGTTTTGGAGTCTGCTTGAGATTCCTTCCCCCTCCCTCTCCTTCCTCCTCTGTGCCTCCCTCTGTTTGCACACACTCTCTCTTTCTTTCTCACTCTCTCAAAATAAATACATAAAATCTTTAAAAAACGTTTAAGTCATATAACCAAGGCAACGGGAGACACTCTGTCCACCCCGGATCGCTGAGATCACGCTGCCCTGTGTCCCTGGTGGAAAACGTCTCCCCGCCCCTCATGGGACATGGATTCGTTTGATTCCCAGCCTCCCATTTGCGACCTGGATGGATTGGGAAAAGTCATTTGTCATACACCCTCTCCTCTGTAAAATGGGCACAATTCTTACCTATTGGATTGATGATCATTATGGAAGGTGCTGAGTGCTGTGTCTGGCACAGAATTATTACATTATAAGTAATAATTATTCCTTATCATTTTTAACATATTTGACTCAGCCTACCAAAGCTGTCAGCAGCCAGCTGGGAAGTTCTTCTTGTATTTCTATTTTTTTTCCCTCCCTGCCCCTTGACCCCACAAAGGCAGCAACAAGGACCCTGGGACTCCCTGCTTCTGTGGCCCTGGCTGGCACCGTGCAGGAGGAACTTGCAAGGACAGCCTGAGATGCTCAGACTGAGCCTTTGACTCCCAGGAGAAGGGCCTGTTCCTGCTGCCACGGACAGGGTGACCGCCCAGGGCTGGCCATGCCTCATCTTCCCCAGAGAGACAGAGGCAGGAGTCACTGGCTCCCAAAGCTCCGAGTCCCAGGACGAGTGTGAAGAGGCAGGGGGTGGCCATTCTGCCCTTGGCTCGGGGTCCCCGTGCAGCCTGCCCCACCACGCTCACGGCCCTGCCGGCCTCCGCTCCCTCATTTGCGAAACGGGGGTGTGGAGCTGTTCACAGGACTGATTTGGAGCAAAGGAAATGGCGTCTATGACTATGCTTAGCGGGTGAGGGTTATTACTGTTCCTAAAAATGTGACGATGAAGAATAAAGCCAAAGAATGATGCCAAGACAAAGCTGGGGAGACTGGCTTGGGGCTCATTCAGTTCTGCCTCGTGGGGGCCTGGCCGAAAGCCATTCGGCAGCTTCAGTCCCCTTTGGGGAGAAGAGGCCCTGCTGGCCTTCCTTAGGCCACCTTCCTCCAGCCTTGGCTTCCGAGTACTCGGTGCGCTCGTGAGGTGATGTCCGGTCACTGAAGAAGCCTGTCTGTCCTCCGGGCCACACACCCCTTCAGGGTGGCTCTTGTCTCGTGAATGCACTATTTACAGGGTAGATAAACAGCAGTGCCCAGAGATGGCGGGTTCTCTGCCTCCCTTCAAGGCCCCACAGGGCTCTCGTCCCCTCACTAGGCCCTCCCTGGGGGCCAGGCTCTGGAAACCCAGAGGCAGCTGGAAGCCAGGGGAGGCGGGCCGCCCACTGGGTCTTGGAGCTGGTTTCAGTCCAGGAGACAGTGTCTTCCTTGGAGGAGCCTGTCGCTGGCTGGATCTGTAAGAGGGCACTTGACGCCTTCTGTTCATACAAGATTAGCTGCAGGA